AATCAGGGGGTAGCAAGTTTGAGTCTAACTGCAGTCAGCATGTCGTTGTGTCCCTGGGCAAGACACTTCACCCCAAATTGCTCCTGAGGGGGCTCCACAGTACTGATGTTGCTTTGGATAAAAGCATCTAACAAGTGACATGTAATGTGAAATGTATGCAAACCGGTTCTTAGCTGGCCCCACTCGGCTGCCCGGCAAGAACCAAGAACCAATAGGAGGGGGCGAGATTAACCTGAGCAATAAAAGTTCATGGCGAGTACGGCAAATCAAAGTTGTAACAAGCAGTAGCGCTGAGCAAAGTGACTAGAACGTGACCACACACTTATAAAAAACACACTTATAAAGTCAGGCAACACTAAAATTACATTACATTACATTGCATTTAGCTGACGCTTTTATCCAAAGCGACTTACAATAAGTACATTCGACCAGGAAGATACAACCTTGAAGAAAACAGAATCATATAAGTACATCAGGTTTCATAGAGCCAAACATTTCAAGTGCTACTCAACTGGCTTTAGAAAACCAGCCCTTTATTAGTATATAAGTGCTTTGTTAGTAATTGTATCGCTCGAAGTGGAGTCGAAAGAGATGAGTTTTCAGTCTGCGCCGGAAGATGTGCAAGCTATCTGCTGTCCTGATTTCAATGGGGAGCTCATTCCACCATTTTGGAGCCAGGCTTTGTGTGATTCTGTTTATCTTTAACTGACTTTAATGACCATCCGTTCGCTGTTATTGATCATTGTGGAGAGCAGCACACTGCCTCATACGTTTTCCTGTTGTTTTGTATTTTAGTGTGTACAGAAGGAAATATGCACACACTAAAACAACTTTCTTCCTATCTCACAAAACATCTGTACAAGTCATTAGAGCCTCCTACCGGCTGCTGTTGTCAAGATGTGCTACAGTAAAATTCCCTGTGTGGTTAGGAGAGTCTTACATTTGAAATATTTACTCAAATGTAGTTATATAAAATGTACCAGTATGTTACAATCGTCACAAAATACATCCTTTCATGAAATGTAATCATCATTTTCTTTTAGAGAAGCTATTTTCCCAGTTTTTTCGCTCTGCTTTAAATGGTTTATTTATGGGAGCCAAAATGTTTAGGTTTTCTAATTTAATCCTTTCCCACCCTTACCCATCACAGAGTTCTGGGCTGACTCCACAGTCATCAGCATCTTCCTGGGAATCCAAAGGAATAGTTCCTCTGCCTGCAACAAACACACGCAAACACACACTCTTTATAGTAATTAACTGGTATTTGATGAAGTGTTTGGAGTGCTGGAGAATCTTGAAAAGGTAACCCCACTGAGTGGAGCTCACCTTGATGTCTCTGGTGGCCCGCAGGCCGTAGCCTTCTGTTCCAAAGTTGGCCACTGTGAAACCGTCACAGGACGCCCCGCTCTCCTGAGCCCAGGACATCAAGTCTGGGAAGTAGTCATCTCTGCTGCCGTCAAAGAGTATAGACATACCTGAATACAAACACACAGCAAGGGACAAATTATCTCTTCTTCATTTTCATCACCTCACTGATACATTACTTCAAATTAGGGCTGCCCTCGAATAAAGGTTTTTCTAGTCGACCAATAGTCGTAAAATTCAGGCGATTAGTCGACTAATCGTCGCGCGTTTATGATATATTATGATCTCAAAATGGTTTCAGTTTCATTGGCTAAGAAAGAAAACATTTTTAACATTATGGTACGTTTTGCTTCAAATCAAATCAAACTGTGATAATGAACCTTTGAAATATCATCCTTTACACACTCAGAAAGATCCCTTCTGAGGAAAAATTAGTCAAGTAGGTTTTTCAGCCGACTAACGTTTAGTCAACTATTTGGGGGCAGCCTTACTTTAAATGACTTGAAATATAATATTGCTGATTACTTAATATTGATAAAATCCTGTGGAATAAGGTTTTCAAAACATTCATTTGAAATAAATAGTGTGTGCACAGCTGCATGCACATGTTCTCACCCTTCTGTTTCTTGCGGATCTTCTCCACCAGGCCTCTGATCTGGGTGTACTCCTCCCACTCTTTACCAGCAGAGGGGGCTGCACTGCTGCACTCTGGGGAATTAACAAAACAACTGCATGTTTAAATTAACCGTACAGCCAACACCCATCTTAACAAGGACATGTAAACATGAAAATACCATGACAACGTTAGGAGCAAATCAATACTAAATCATACACTGTAGAGATTTACACTGGCTCTGGTTTGTATGGACCTCTGGTGAAAGTCGTCTCACTGTGATGAAACCTCAGCTGTACTGTTTAAGAAGACTGATGCACAACACCTGGATATGACCGCTGACTGCGAAACTACGTTTAGGGTGCAAAACTACGGCACAATTCCAAACCGCCACCTACCCACTTCTACTCGGTGACGGAGTGAACTCCGGCTGTCGGGAAACTCACAGCTAAACGAGGCACCATTATTTCAGGTCGACGGTGCAAATAGAGCGGCAATCTTTGGAACAAACTCCCCTCCCTCTGGCAGAAACAGGAATAATTTATAAAATAATATAATAATATAATAATTTATAAAAAGGAAACGCCATTTCAATTTTTTGGAAATTAGAAATGTTTTGAAAAAATCTTAAATAGCGTTTCATTTTTGTAAACCTTTCTATTTTTTTTTTTTTTTTTTTTTAAATCTGATGTTTTTAAGCTGCTTGGTTTTTTAAACAGTCTGTAAATATACAAAACGTTAGTATCAAATGCACACCTTTACCTTTTTTCTAGACTAGACAAGGGGATATGATTTAAAGTAAAACAAATAAAAGTTATCCATCAGGTTGTATGACGATATTAAATGTCTATCTGGTTTCGCGGATTACCAGTAAATGTTTGCTGGAACTGTTTGTAACAGCGTGTTTCCTGACGGACACACACAGCGTGGGTCGGTCAGGTAGGACTGATGCAGATCCTTTGAAGGTTTGATAACCAACTCCCCCTCCCCAATAGTTGAATTGGAACGGCACTTAATGTGGCGTACGTGGAGGGGTAGGGTGCAAGAGGTAGTTTGAAATTGGGCCTTTGTTTAGGTGAGTGTGCTTTCAGCTGCCAATATCTTTATGGGCCTCCTTGCAAACTGCCTCCCTGATTTCTGTGCGACAGGTCATTTCTGATGCAGACTGTCACTTTGGACCTGAGCAGCTGATTGACCAGTCAAATGGATGGATTCCTATCCCCTCTGCGCCCATACACATGAATCACTGAAAAAAGTAAACCACAGATATAATTGAAACCAGAAACGTTATTATTATGTGGGTGTGCAGGAACATAAAAATCCCAAATAGAACAAATGGTGTTATTGAGTAAGATTACAATCTACTGGAAGAAAAATTGGTGTAACTTAATGTTCCATATGTGCTGACTTTTTATTTTATATGATTAGAGTGAAAAAAAAGAAGGTTCCCTGGATGCAGGAGAACGTACTCTGCAGCAGTTCAGCGATCAGGTTCATCATTTCCTTTGGGGTCACCACCGGGGTGGCTCCTGAGCCCGACTTCTGAATCTTCACTCGACTCTTCTTTCCCATGGTGCTGATGTACTGAAAAGACAGACCATCATTACTGTTGGCTGTGAACATGAGAAAGTAGATACAGGCTGAGAGGAAATCAACTAGGTGTATAGCACACAGAAAAGTAAACACAGAAGCTCACTTTTTTCTAAATAATATTTTGCTCAGGTGACATATTGTGCCAAATACTATTTTTCATGGTTTCCCCCTATGATACACCAACGCAGGTTATACTGTCCCTGTTATGTAGCTACAGGTACCGCCTGCCTTTACCTGTGAGAACTGACGCTACCTCTCTCATGTGAAGTGCTACACTGCCAGCCCTCAACATTTATTTTTTCTCTTGATTTATTTTTCAAGAACCAGGTGTGTCCAGGGGAAAAGTGGACTTGCCAAGCTGCTGTGCTCACAGTCCACAATGCTGCGAGCCGGGCCTCTGAGCAGCTCCCGGTCCAGGGGCCTCATTTATAAACGGTGCGTACGCTCAAAAGATGGCGTACACCACTTTCTACGCAATGTTTGCAATTTATAAAAAACAAACTTGACGGGAAAATGTGCGGTCCTCCCCACAAACTCTGACCCATCCGTACGACCAAAAACGGGAGAGACGAGAAACTGCGACACCGTTGACAGAAGGAAGAATGGAGAGAAATATGGGGAAATAATACCATAAATAAAATGTTACCTCTCATTTACAGTGGGGCAAAAAAGTATTTAGTCAATCACCAATTGTGCAAGTTCTCCCACTTAAAAAGATGAGAGAGGCCTGTAATTTTCATCCTAGGTATACCTCAACTATGAGAGACAGAATGAGAAAAAAAATCCAGAAAATCACATTGTCTGATTTTTTAAGAATTTATTTGCAAATGATGGTGGAAAATAAGTATTTGGTCAATAAAAAAAGTTAATCTCAATACTTTGTTATATACCCTTTGTTGGCAATGACAGAGGTCAAACGTTTTCTGTAAGTCTTCACAAGGTTTTCACACACTCCGTTGGCGCCCCTCCAAGACAATGGTAGGGGAAAC